GTGGCAAATATTTCATGCATATTCAGGACGAGAACAAGTTCACAATAAATACAATAGGTAGGTTCTGTAATAGATTAAGGGATTAAGGTCGGAGAAATTTAGACTGCCACGGGAAATGAGGGTATATTGGATAGGGACAGAAATTTAGCCTTGCAACAGGTCACCTACGGACCCCTCAAAGAGTTGTTGCAAGGGTTCTTAACGTGCAAAGAGCGTGGCACTCTCTTTACACGAGGCATCGGATTTAACGTCCCCATTCTGACCGGACGTTATTTAATTTGATATTATGTTGATAGTCCTAAATATAAAGCTTTACTACAACTATCACATAAACTTGAAATGATCCCAAAATTGAGGTCAAGGTTATAATAAAATGCTCCGCAGGGCGCAGCTTGATACGACCGCAGAGGTCGAACCCTGAACAGTTGGGGCAAGTATGGACACAACATTCAAGCTTGATACAGCTTTGCATTTGGATTGTGATTAAATATTTGACACAGCATAGGTTTTTGACACAGAATAAATGTGGTCTAAGAACTTAAAAATTTTAAATTGGACATTCACCTATTATGGTCCAATATCCAAAATCTAAATACATGGTTAGATTCAGCATATCAAAGAACCCCAAGAATTCAATTTTTGATGAAATCAAACAAAGTTTAATTTTGGACCCTTTTGACCTCAATGTGGACAAAGTTGGTCCAAATCGGGGTCCAAATTAAACTTTGTTTGATTTCAACAAAAATTGAATATATGGGGTTCTTTGATATGCTGAATCTAACCATGTATTTAGATTTTTGATTTTTGGGCCCCGTTATCAACTTTGTCCACATTGAGGTCAAAAGGGTCCAAAATTAAACTTTGTTTGATTTCATAATCAAAAATCTAAATACATGTTTAGATTCAGCATATCAAAGAACCCTAAGAAATTAATTTTTGTTAAAATCAAACTAAGTTTAATTTTGGACCCTTTGGAACTTAATGTAGACCAATTTGAAAACGGAACCAAAAATTAAGAATTTAAATACACGGTTAGATTCGGCATATCAAAGAACCCCAATAATTCAATTTTTGATGAAATCAAACAAAGTTTAATTTTGGACCCTTTGGACCTCAATGTGGACCAATTTAAAAACGGGGCCCAAAATCCAAAAACTAAATACACGGTTAGATTCAGCATATTAAAGAACCCCAAGAATTCAAGAATAAAACCCCATTGAAATTGGTCAAGAAATAAGCAATTTATACGAAGTATCTTCTTTTGCACAATACTGTGCAATTAAATATTTCTTGCTATTGCGCAATACTGTACAATTGACAATTTCTTGCTATTGCGCAATATTGTGCTATTGGATATTTCTTGCTATTGCGCAATACTGTGCAATTGAAGATTTCTTGCTATTGCGCAATACTGTGCAATTGAAGATTTCTTGCTATTGTGCAATACTGTGCAATTGAAAATTTCTTGCTATTGCACAATACTTATTATATAATAATTTACACATCCTGTTTGGTGTGTATCTCCTACCATATCATTATTATTTGCTTTTAAATATAAATCAGAAATAACCAACTTAAAATGGAAAATTTTAAAAGAAAAAAAAAAGGAAACCCCCCCCCCCCCACATTTTTTGAACCCCCTTATGATTCATCACCCCCAAACTTAATCCCAGCCTTCCCTTTGTGGTATGGTACCTTGCAGTACAATTTCAGAGAGATCCATACACTTGAACACAAGTTATTGTCTTGAGACTAGAAAAATGTGTTTTTTGGCCCCTTTTTGGCCCCAAATTCCTAAACGTTTAGGGCAATTACCCACAAACTCAAACCCAGCTTTCCCTTTGTGATATGGAACCTTGTAGTACAATTTCATAAAGATCCATACACTTACTCACAAGTTATTGTCCTGAAACTACAAAAATGCTTGTTTTTTGCCCCTTTTTGGCCCCTAATTTCTAAAATATTTAGGCAATTACCCCCATCATCAATCCCAGCCTTCCCTTTGTGGTATGGTACCTTGCAGTACAATTTTAGAGAGATCCATACAGTTGAACACAAGTTATTGTCTGGAAACTAGAAAAATGCTTATTTTTGGCCCCTTTTTGGCCCCCAATTCCTAAACGTTTCGGCATTTACCCCCAAACTCAATTCCAGCTTTCCCTTTGTGATATGGAACCTTGTAGTACAATTTCAGAAAGATCTATACACTTACACACAAGTTATTGTCATGAAACTACAAAAATGCTTGTTTTTTGCCCCTTTTTGGCCCCTAATTTCTAAACTTTTGAGGCAATTACCCCCAAAATCAATCCCAGCGTTCCTTTTGTGATATAGAACCTTGTGGTACAATGTCAGAGAGATCCATACACTAACACACAAGTTATGTCTGGAAGTAACAAAAATGCTTATTTTTGGCCCCTTTTTGGCCCCTAATTCCTTTACTGTTGGTACCATAACCCCCAAAATCAATCCCAACCTTCCTTTTGTGGTATTGAACCTTGTGGTAAAATTTCATAGAGATCCATTCATTTAAACTAAAGTTAGAGTGCGAAAACCAATGTGTCTTCGGACGACGCCGGACGACGCCAGACGACGCCAGACGACGACGACGACGCCAACGTCATACCAATATACGACCACAAAAATTTTTTTGCGGTCGTACAAAAATCTAAATACATGGTAAGATTTAGCATATCAAAGAACCCCAATAATTCAATTTTTGATGAAATCAAACAAAGTTAAATTTTGGACCCTTTGGACCTCAATGTGGACCAATTTAAAAACGGGGCCCAAAATCCAAAAACTTAATACTTGGTTAGATTCAGCATATTAAAGAACCCCAAGAATTCAAGAATAAACCCCATTGAAATTGATCAAGAAATAAGCAATTTATACGAAGTATCTTCTTTTGCACAATACTGTGCAATTGAATATTTCTTGCTATTGTGCAATACTGTACAATTGACAATTTCTTGCTATTGCGCAATATTGTGCTATTGGATATTTCTTGCTATTGCGCAATACTGTGCAATTGAAGATTTCTTGCTATTGCGCAATACTGTGCAATTGAAGATTTCTTGCAATTGTGCAATACTGTGCAATTGAAAATTTCTTGCTATTGCACAATACTTATTATATAATAATTTACACATCCTGTTTGGTGTGTATCTCCTACCATATCATTATTATTTGCTTTTAAATATTAATCAGAAATAACCAACTTAAAATGGAAAATTTTTAAAGAAAAAAAAAAAGGAAAAAAAGAAAAAAAAAGAAAAAAAAAAAATCCCCCCCCCAAATTTTTTGAACCCCCTTATGATTCATCACCCCCAAACTCAATACCAGCCTTCCCTTTGTGGTATGGTACCTTGCAGTACAATTTCAGAGAGATCCATACACTTGAACACAAGTTATTGTCTGGAAACTAGAAAAATGCTTATTTTTGGCCCCTTTTTGGCCCCCTATTCCTAAACGTTTCGGGCAATTACCCACAAACTCAATTCCAGCTTTCCCTTTGTGATATGGAACCTTGTAGTACAATTTCAGAAATATCCAAACACTTACACACAAGTTATTGTCATGAAACTAGAAAAATGCTTGTTTTTTGCCCCTTTTTTGGCCCCTAATTCCTAAAATTTTGAGGCAATTACCCCCAAAATCAATTACAGCCTTCCCTTTGTGATATGGAACCTTGTGGTACAATGTCAGAGAGATCCATACACTTACACACAAGTTATTGTCTGGAAGTTACAAAAATGCTTATTTTTGGCCCCTTTTTGGCCCCTAATTCCTTAACTGTTGGTACCATAACCCCCAAAATCAATCACAACCTTCCTTTCGTGGTATTGAACCTTATGGTAAAATTTCATGGAGATCCATTCACTTAAACTAAAGTTAGAGTGCGAAAACCAATGTGTCTTCGGACGACGCCGGACGATGCCAGACGACGACGACGACGACGACGCCAACGTCATACCAATATACGACCAAAAAATTTTCAATTTTTGCGGTCGTATAAAAACCGGACAAGAAATAGAAGTACATCTTACAATCATTCATTACACTAAATATAGATGACCTATAGCTTATAGTTGCTAAAAAACAGACTTAATCAAGAAAACTAAAGATTGACCAATGAACCATGAAAATGAGGTCAAGGTCAGATGAAACATGCCAGTTGGACATGTACACCTTACAATCCTTCCATGCACCAAATATACTATGCCTGTTGCTTATAGTATCATAGATATGGACTTGACCACCAAAACTTTACCTTGTTCACTGATCCCTGATATGAGGTCGAGGTCAAGTAAAAACTGTCCGGCGGGGATGAGGACCTTGCAAGATACACACATACTAAATATAGTTATCCTATTACTCATAATAAGACAGAAATTAACATTACAAAAAATGTTAACTTTTTTTCAAGTAGTCACTGAACCATGAAAATGAGGTCAAGGACAATGGACATGTGACAGACAGAAACTTCCTAACATAAGGCATCTATATACAAAGTATGAAGCATTCAGGTCTTCCACCTTCAAAAATATGAAGCTTTTAAGCAGTTAGTTAACACCGCCACCATCCACGTCGCTGTCGGATCACTATCCCTATGTCGAGCTTTCTGCAACTTAAGTCGCAGGCTCGAAAAAAATTATGGCGATTTGACCCTGGGAGAACAGCTATTAGGCCAATAGGGCAAACATAAATCAGGGTGAACAGACCCAGATTGGGATAGAGGCGTGCTTCAGCTGGCAATGCATATTCTTAAACAACAAACTTTTTTTATGTAAAAAAGTAAAGTACAACTTATCGGTGGTAATTTTGAACATCACAAGCAAAGATGCGACATGATTGCTATTTGTCAGCAGGTTTTTATTGATTTACAGATAATTTGCCAATGCATGTATATCAAGACTTTGGTTAGCTTGCTTGCTTGGTTTGTTTGTATATTGTGGGGATTGGGACCGTGTACAAGATTAAAAAAAATGTTTTCTTACGTATAAGTATGACATATGGCCTTCTTATTTCAGATTTACCAATGTAGTTGCAAAATGGCCTGGAAATACCCATGACAGCTTCATAATGCAGAATTGCTCTTTAAATGAAAAATTCGAGAACAAGCAGGTAGATGGCTGGCTTTTGGGTGACTCAGGGTATCCCCTTAAACCATGGCTGTTAACACCCTTCTTAAATCCATCATCAAATGGAGAAGAAAAATACAACAGATGTCATAAAAGTACCAGGAATGTAATTGAGAGAGCCTTTGGACTTCTGAAATCCAGGTTTAGGTATAAAAATTGTAAACATGTACATCCTGTGGTACAACTTGTACAAGTAATAAGAAGACATGATGACTTTTTTTACTTATATAAGTATACAAAATCTGAATGTCTAAGGGACTTAACTAAGTCAAAAAATAATTTACCTATATATATACAAGTTAATAAAATACACTTGTATAAGTATCCTACAAATTTATTCATATAAGTATATTTATATTTACTTCTTCAAGTAAATAAAAATTACTTGTACAAGTAGTACCCCTGACTGATGTATGGGAAATCTTTACACAGATGATTGTTGTAAGGAACTGCCACAAACAGTATAACAAGTTGATATTTACTAGTATCTAAATTTCATAATTCATTTGAATAAACTTAAAAAGATGTACAAAATTGAGTCAATAATGAACAAATTATATTGGTTTAACTGTAAATTGAGAAATTATTGCAATGTTTTTATTACATTTTGAACATTTATGAATTAAACAGGATTTTTCTCAATATTTCAGGAATGACTGTAATATTTCTTCTGTCTATGAAGAAATAACATCAAAAATGTGGTGCACACTGAATAACGTAATCAGTATATGCACAGTAAAACACATAGAAGAAAGCAAAGGAATAAAACCATTTCACTAATATTGCAATGCATCAATACAGTTCTTTTATTTTGATTGTCAAGTACATTAATCAATTATCAAAACATGTATTATACATAGACAATAATAGTGCAATGACTTGACATATCAACGATATAAGGATGAGGCTTAGAAACGGGGAAATGCAAGGCTCTGCCGAGCTGAATCCTTATATCGTTGATATGTCAAGTCAATGCACTATTATTGTCTTTATACTGCAATCTAAAAAAAAACATTTTCAATTGTTGTTTATTGTGTTAATGTTATTATTTGATTTAAATATTGGGAAACTTCCCCCTTTTATAATAAAATGCTTCGCTGGGCGCAGCTTGATACGATCGCAGAAGTCGTACCCTGAACAGTTGGGGCAAGTATGGACACAACATTCAAGCTTGATACAGCTCTGAATTTGGATTGTGATTAAATATTTGACACAGCATAGGTTTCTGACACAGAAAGAATGTGGTCTAAGAACTTGATTTTTTTTAATTTACCTATTATGGTCCAATGTCCAAAATCAAAATACATGGTTAGATTCAGCATATCAAAGAACCCCATATATTCATTTTTTGTTGAAATCAAACAAAGTTTAATTTTGGACCCCAACTTGGACAAACTTGAAAACTGGGCCCATAATCAAAAATCTAAACACATGTTTAGATTCAGCATATCAAAGAACCCCAAGAATTCAATTTTTGTTAAAATCAAACAAAGTTTAATTTTGGACCCTTTGAACCTTAATGTAGACCAATTTGAAAACTGGACCCAAAATTAAAAATCTAAATACACGATTAGATTCGGCATAACAAATAAATAAATGTGGTCAAAGATTTTACAAATCTAATGCACCATACTGTGCAATTAAAGTTTACTTCTTGAAATTTTTCAATATCTGAAATTTGAAAAAAAAATAATATTTGAAGAATATTTCTTTTTAATTTCTGAAATCTGAAATGAGAAAAAATTGACCCCCCACAATTTCTTTTTACCCCCCCCCCTTTTTTTCCCCCAAAAAAATTCTTTCCCTCAAGATATGGTCATAATCTCAATTCAAATTGCCAATGGAGTTTGCAACCATAATTACCCATTTAAATTTACCATAGTGCTAACTTAATCTATTTTATAATAGAATTTAAAATATTGTTTCAAATCTTTCATATGGATTTTTTTGTAAAAAAAAAAAAGATGCAACATAAGCAGATATTTTTACTGGTCTTCCTTTATAAATATGCATTTCTTTAAACATAATTTAAAAGCAGTGTAAGGGAAGTAACCAAAACGTTGTATTTGGATTACCTCCCTTACACTGTTTTAAATTATCTTAATTGTTCATTAACCATTATTTTATACATAATTTAAAAGCAGTGTAAGGGAGATAATTTCAATGATGTATTTGATTTATCTCCCTTACACTGCTTTAAATTATGTTTTGTACTAAAGTATTTGTCCATTAACCAGGACAACCTTGTTTTCCCCCCTTTTTTGCCCCTTATTCCTAAACGGTTTGAGCCATAACCCCCCAAAGCAAATCCTAACCATCCCTTTGTGGTATGGAAACTTGTAGTATAATTTCAGAGAGATCCATACACCGTAACACAGTTATTGTCTGGAAACTAGAAAATGCTTATTTTTGGCCCTTTTTTGGCCCCTAATTCCTTAACTGTTGGTACCATAACCACCAAAATCGATCCCCACCTTCCTTTTGTGGTATTGAACCTTATGGTAAAATTTCAAAGAGATCCATTCACTTAAACTAAAGTTAGAGTGCGAAAACCAATGTGTCTTCGGACGACGACGACGACGACGCCAACGTCATACCAATATACGACCGCAAAAATTTTTTGCGGTCGTATAAAAAGGCATCATATCATGCAGGTGGAGAAATATACAACACAATGAAATGTACATTACCTGTTGAAACCCGCAATCGATGGTGAACGAATTTGTTTGAGAATGAACTAAAATATCAACAATAAGCATAAAACATAATGATTTATAGTTTGCAAACCAAAAAAATTAACAAGTGAAATTTGTTTTTTTTCTAAAAATTGCAAAAGAAATAAGTTTGAGTCGTTGTATACATTGGAAACAAGAACAGGTTGAATTGGTCGTTTGAATAATTAATTATAATTTCGGCAATTTCTATTTAAATATTCATGAGGAAAAGTCATATCAGGTCAGTGACTGTATATGACATAGAAATATACGGTCAACGCATTTTGACTGCTCAAATAGAACGAGTGCAGTACAAAGAATGAATTTTTTAAGTAGTTAAAATGAATTATTATTTTATCTAAATACATAGGATGTGAAAAGTTGTGTTGCATAAATAAATGTAAACTAAATTTTATTAGACAAACAGAAAATGTGATTAAAACCAAAGCTGTTGTGACTAATGTGTTATAAAATATACAGGTTCATTTGAAAGTGACCATAATATTTTTTTTACATATAAGTACTTTTTACATTCAATTTTTAAGTAAACGATTAATTTATCTTTACAGGTGCTTACACAAAACCACTGGATGCCTACATTTCATCCCAAAAAAATGTACCAACATTGTTGTAGCATGCTTCATACTTCACAACATTTGCATAGACAAGTCTATTCCACAGTTGGATGAACTGCTCGAAGATGACAATAATGAGGATGATCATGAGCAACCAGATGTTTTCAATGATGGTATAAACACACGTGCCTCACTTGTAAGACAAAGGTTCAACTAAACATGATACACATAGTGCAAAACCATAATTTTAAATTGTTACCGGTAGTTTAAGAATATTTCACAGAGTGACATTACCTTTATTAATCTACAAATAAAATTAATAGACAGAAGAGTTTTATATCAAGCCAGCTATTACAGATTAATTGTACTTTATATTTATTTGGATAATGACACAATGGGAGCATATTTTGAAGAAAAAATATTTTATCTTATTGACCTTTTTTTTAAGTCTCCCATAGTAAGCCCCAATTAATATCTATCCATTGAAGACTATTTCATATCCCATTAAATTTATCAAGATATGACAAACCAGAAAATATACGATTTAGGGGTAGGGATGTCCATCACTTTTAAGATATATGCATTTTCTCATCTTTTCCTTTAGACATAGTTTGAAAATGACCACTAGGTGATTCACCGGTATATATAGATTTATCTTTTATTTATATGATAAATAGGAAAATGTTCGGTTAAATGATGTCTATTTAAACACTTAAAAAACTTGTTTATATTTTGTCAATAGTTTAAAAAATATATTTCTCTAATTTTTGTGCTATTTTCACATTTCTTGAGCGGTGTGAGCAAAATATTTCTCCTCACTCGTGAAATATCTGTTATCGTCAAATGATTAGTCGAAATTTGATTATGAAATCGAGATTTCTTGGTTTCTTCTGAATTTTCCTATTGTGACATCATGAAAAAAAGGCGACCATGCCTGATGACGTTGCATATATACAACACAACTTTCTTAAAATCTTGGAAAAAGAGGGGAAAATCATTAGAGAAACAGATTCCTACACTATAACTTGTGTATTACGATATTTCGCCACTCTCAACAGTTAAATTTTAATTAACCAAAAAGCTTTGCAAGCCTCGCGCTTTAAATAATAAATTTAACTGTCTCGAGTTGAGAAATATCGTAACACATTTGTTGCAGTGTAGGAATCCATATTACTATTTTATAATGCTTGTGAAGAGATTGACCCCTTATGAATTATCATATTATTAGCCTATGTATCTAGTATCTTGGCATGTTGCGGTGCTTTGCTTTTGCACCAATTGGCATTTCATTTGCGCCTCAAACCATATTTCATTTGCGCCAAAAATAAAAACCTTTCATTTATTCCAATAATACAGGTGAATACAGGTAAATAGTATAAAAAATTTATATTATTTCAAAAAAGACTTTTAATGGTAAAGACAATTTTTGTTTGCATAATAAAACATATTCCTCAGAAATCAGTCAGCATAAAACCATACGAGTTATGTTAAAACTTCATTAAAGCACAGTTCTGTTACTTTGAACTTTTAAAAAAGAGTAAAATTACGAGACAGTTCTAAGCATTTTACACTATAGTAAAATTATAATTCTGTCCATATCAGTTGTTATTCTGGCTTTCAAGTTTTATGGTTTGATTTTTAATATAATGCATACAATAATCTATGTACCGTATGTGTGATAATAAAAAAAAAGACTCATTTCCTCTGTTTGTCTCTGAACTGACAATGTCCATCTTTACACCTTTAGCATGTGAACACTTTATAATTCTAAACCTCAGATTTGTATTAGAAATGAGTATGAACAATTATCCAGGAGAAATACTGTAGAAACAAATCTTATTCATGATAAAGCAATGAATATGCAACTTTCTCGTTATATGTTACCTGTATCACCTATGAAATGGCGCAAATGAAGGGGGGTCTAACCGTCTTAAAATTTTATAAATATTTAAACTTTGACCTAATTAATCACAGATAACTTTTCTGATATAAGTTCCAAAAATTTCAGTTTCTTTTTTTCCAATTCATTGCTTTCTTCCATTAACTCTATTTTTCTTTTTTTCAATTTAATCTTTTCCTCTTCTATCATTAACAGTCTACTGGTGGAATCAGCAACGCATTCCACTGTCTTTCCTAAAAAAAAAATTAAATGGGATAATATTTATTAAATTATTGATTTAAAAATATTTTACTTCCTACATTGAAACTTATCATTACATTTTTTATGTAACAAATTAATAAACATCTAGGCTGAATGTGTTTAGGCCAGCAAAGCAATTACTTTAAATAAATGTCAGGGAACAATTGCTGTGGAAATAGTACATATGAAAATTTTGATGTCTTTAATATTATGCAGTTGATTCAATGTTTATGTTTTTCACAATTATTTCTTCCATTGTTTTTCAAAACAACATTGAGTACTCTCAGGTATATACTAAGTGTATTTTTTGTTGTTAAGGATAAAATGGAATTATAAGGAATGACTGTAACATTTTTTCTGTCTACTAGAAATACATCACAAATGTTATGCACACTTTTAAATAACCAGCTATGCTATATTCCATGTGCACATTTTAAATGTTATTTCTTCATTAGCAGAAAAAATGTAACAGTCAATCCTTAAAAAGACGACTATACAATATGGGTTTTTATTTCATTGTTGAAGGCTGTAAGTTTGCCTATTATAGCTTACATCCCCTTTATCTAAACTGTGGCGGATAGTTGTGTCATTCCCAATCTCCTTATTTTTATACTTGTCATTATGTAAATATAATTCCTGTTTCTGCATTGCCTTGAAAATTATACTATTAATTCAATATTTCCTAAAAAATAAAAAAAAAATGATATAAAAATTTCACTGAAAAAGATACCATTAACATTCTGAATTAAGAATAAAGCTCATATACTGCTGACTATATACTAGACATACCAGTCCTATTCTTTGATGGTGGTGATGTTCGTTCTTTGGGTCTGCTGTCATTTCCACAAAGAGTCACTTCATTTTCATTAACTGAGAATTAAAAATAAAAACCAATGAAACAATTTTTAAGCTTCCATACTATATAATATATTCATAAGCTTCTTAATCGCAAACATGTACAAGTGCAGATATAATATCAGATTATTACATGGCATTTTTCATATCAGATGTATTATCAGCCCAAGGTTCAATATCAGCCCAAGAGCCGAAGGCTCGAGGGCTGAACATACATCTGATATGAAAAATGACATGTTATGATCTTTTTATCATATGCTTCAATAATAGAGAAAAATAACAGTTTAATATATTGATCCTTTTTAGTGGTTCCCACGTAGAAGTTCAAAAAGTGAAAAGTTTACGGACGTGGGATGCCAAATTTAGTACATTCGATATGAAATCTTTCTAACATATGCCTGAACAGAGGGGGAAATAAAACAACAGCATGATATATTTTTATATTGACGATAAAAAAAATCAACAAAACATAATGAACACTGTTTGGAAAATTTTGTAAAAAAATTTGTAAAGTAACTTTCTAAATTATGCTGGAAACATTTAAAAATGCATTTATTTGAACAATATTTTTTTTTTTTTATTTTACATATTATATTATCCTGTCTCGTAATAACTGTTTGTACCCTACTTTAATTGTAATGTTTTTCACTTAAAACGTACCATTGAGGTGTTTTTTCCGGAATTTGCCTAGTATCGCCGGAATGCCATGCGATGTTACGGAAAGGCATGTGATAATAATCTAAGCATGTGATAAATTTTTCATATCAGCCCGCTAAACATCATTTCGAAAAAATATGGAATTCACGTAAATTCAATGCTGTTATCATACTGTAAAAATTATATGTTATTTGCTATAAGTATATGATAAAGTTACATATCATAATGACTAGTATCAAGATTATGTATTAATTGAATATTTCCTGTCTCTAAGGACACTGAATTTTTTTTTTTTTTTTTAAATTTAATCCTAAACAATAACAAAACATTGTGCACCCAAACATGCGACTATAAAACCAATAGTCCAAGCCCAAACTAATAAAAAATTTTGGGATTTTTTTTCTACCGGAAAATTAAAACAAAAAGAGAGACAACTCTTAAATATATAAAAGAAATGTAGAAAGCCTTTATGACACAGATACATTTTGATCTTTTTAATTTAATGAAGTATTTAGGAATTTTGTTTTTAAGTAGGAAAGTATATATGTATGAATTACTTATGATTTCCTTTCCTGTTGACATGTCTATCAATATTTCAACAGTGTCATCTGCACTTCCAGTTGGGTCTGTATTTTCATCTATTAAAATAATCAAATACATGATAAACTACTACAATAAATTTAATTTGTTTGTTTTAGCTGGTTTCCGTTCATGTTTTTTTTTAAATACGTAAACATTTCAGTGACTACTCACTAATCCATGAATGATCTTCTTTAACTTTAACATAGACTTATTTTTCTAGTAAGGATTTGACTATACCGTAAGTTATTTTTTATACGAAAGTGTTTTTATTTTGTATCAACACTGTTTTTACATGTTTTTTAAACAACAAAAAATTTGTCTGATAAAGCAGGTCTCTTAAATTGTACAGGACTTAATAAACCCTAAATAAAATATAAGTCAGATATGTTATCTTCTATTCAGCAGTGCAATTGTATAAGTTCATGTTCATACTTACTCTCAGAAACAGGTAAATCTGGCATCTGTACAGAGGACACTAATGCTATCAATGAAAAACAAAAAGATATGCTTATCAGAATTAAGAAAATAAACTTGGGTCTATATATTGTACATGAAGGTATTCGTTATTTAAACGAATTGTATTACTTGTTACATATATGCATACTGTAATGAAATGCCATTGTATTAATAGTTTAAAAATACCCTTTTTTTTATGAGTGTTACAAAAAATCAGAAGTCATTAAATTTAAATTGTTCAAGTTATCTTTCATACCTTCAATATAAATTTTGCACCTTGTATTGTTGGGTTTCTGTCTCATTTATTAATACCCTGTTTCAATATTCTCACTACACAACATACAATGTATATAAGCTATATAAAGAATTAATAGTGCTATTGAAGCTGAACATAACATTGTGTATTTGACTAACTTTGTGTATGAATATGTAGAGCTTAATTATGTTTCCTGACTTAGACAGCACTATTGCTATTAACAACTCACCAAAAAATATTAACCCAGGTATGATAAGGCCAAATAAAAAAAATATGTGTGTTTCCTTTTTCCCTACCTACCCTATATTTTAAGCTTAGAAATAGCCTACCTTAACGGTTTTTTGGTCATTTTTCAAGTTAATGTCAGAATTTCTCTCCCAAAAACTCAATGTAAAAACTATTGTAAAATAAAAAAATTCCCTATCTACCTACTTACCCTTTTTTTCAAAGATTTAATAGGAAAGGCACATATTATTTTATTTGGCCTAAGTAAATTCAATATAGATTCATATAACATGTTTAACTTACCACTGTCGGTGTCAATACCACCAGTAATTCCATAGCAGGCAACTCTGGGAATGATAGAAATAACCTGTAAATAAATGTATATATATATATATATTGAAAAGTTTTTAAAATTTGTCCACGCTGTGCATAAAATAGGAAAAAAAAATAATGCTGAAAATGCACCAAATATTTATATTCAATATGAATATTCACATTTTGTCTATTACCATGATTACAATATAAAATTGTTCATAATATTCTCCATAGTATCCTCCATAGTATCCTATATATATATATTCATTTATCTAATTTCTATTGTCAATCTTTTATTACTATATTCAATTCAATTGGTATACACTTTATATCTGTATTTCATGATGTTTAATAAATGATTCATAACAATGTGAGATGCAACTTGTTCAAATTGATTTGAAAGTTAGCCAGAGATATTATACTGTAATGTGTCTTCTTTTTAATATATACTGTAATATCATATCTGTTATAAACATGGTAAATTCATCAGTTTTACTTTTTAAATAGCTGGTACAACATGTTATATATAATTGTAAAGTCTAAGAATCCATCGCAATATTATTCTCATGAGCACTAAAATCACACAAAATTGAAATGATATAATAGTACATGATATATCTAAGGATTGAATTTACCATTTGTGATTATTACTTATTGAAATTTTCAATGTTAATAAAATTCTGTTCCATTCTTTTATATTGATAACAATATTGTTTGAACTACATGTACAACAATAATTAAAACAACAAAATAATTCAATCAATTAACCTTTGACTCAAGTGGTGTTAAAGCAGTTGGTGCTGGTCCACCACCTGTCAGATTCTGGAGCTTGAATCTTTCTGCCTCCTTTTTCTTTGATTTGAGTTGCAAATCCTGCCATTTGTGTTTCACCTCTGGTGTAGTTCTTACAACAGAACTAATTGAATTGACTCTATTTAGATGAGAGAAAAAAAAAGAGCTGTAACTTCCATATATTTGATGAAAATGTATTTGCTTATAACAAATATTTCTTGATTAAGAGTAACATATAGGTTTACACCAAGATGTTGTCAAATGAAATTGGATATCCTGCATTTATCATGCTTTTAGTTATATATGGTTAAATTCGTGAAACACACCCTCCTAATCAGCTAATTATTGAAAACTATTAACCTGTATTAATAATAATATCTCTTGGTGTAAATGAGTAACACCAATTCAGGCTTACACTCTCAAGGTGTATTTAAAACATATATGTCTGGTAGAAATTGACCTTTTGCAAGTTAACGTGAATATGTACATGTACATGTATAATACTCTTGATATATTTTGAAGCATTCATAAATAAAGTTCAATGAAATAAAAGATGAAGTTTTGTCCATTTTGTAGCATTCAATGAATAATTCAACTTGCAAGTTACACAGTCCCAAACTTTCCATTGGTATAATATTGAAAATTTTTGTTATAGATGTGTTCACAATCTTCAGGAGAATCTGAGATCACCCAGTTTTTGTTGGGGTTCGTGTTGCTCATTCTTAGGTTTTATATGTTGGTTTTTATCTGACATTACTATAGACAAGTGAACTGTTGTTTTGTCTGTTTGTCTTTTTAAGACTTTTCTTTTCTAGCTATGATTTGCGTTGCAGTTTGCAGGGTTTATTTTTTCGACTTATGAGTGCATGTGAATGACCGTTTGGTATCCATCGCCTCTTTTTACGTGACACATCAACTGGGACTATTATACTAATGTAAATTATCTCAACAGATCGATCAGTTTCCAGTCCCGTTAGTATAACCATAGATGTATAAAATTTATACATCTATGGTATAATAGTCCCAGACATCAACCACTATCTGAATAAATTTTCCACTGCTACTGTAGTACTAATCATGTAATGTGAGCATAAGTGTCGAGGTAGATTAAGTCAATAAAATTGTGTTTGAAGAAAGTGTAAACAGCAAAAACAGGAAGCTAGTGTGCATATTTAAAAGACATATCAAAAGCGGTCCTTCCCGTTTCCGAGATTTTTGGATAATGAAAAACATTGACATATTATTAGAGGACTTTAGATATATCTGGGGCACAGGCACTTGACTGATTTTGTTTTACCAATTTAGTGTTTGCATTCATCTGACAAATTATTAAAAGATCAAACTTTGTTATACTCATTTGTTTGTTTTTAATTCAATTTGTGTCTATTTAAAATATCGGTGTGTTAACATACTTCTGAACAATACTTGACCAGATTGCCTTCTTTTTATGAAGGTCTAAATTGGGAGAGAGTGCTCCAAAAAGAAGAGAATAGTTCTCTTGCACTCCCTCCACAATGATATCCACCTCCTCACTCGAAAAGTGAGGTTTTCTCGGCGGACTTTTAATTTTTTGTATTTCCATAGTCAGAGAGTGTTGTACGTATTTTCGTCTGCTAAATTCTATGTTACATACCTCCAATGAAAAAGAATGCTGTTTTCGGGGATTCCCGTGCTATAAATAAATAGCGATTGTCTAGCGATCAAAAAATCTAACGATTCTTCTGCGTATGCTTTATGAAACGCACGTAGACGTCATCGTTATGTAGTCGTTAGTTACACGCTAAAATTAACGGTAATCGTTATTAGCGATTGTTTTATGAAACGGCAGCCTGGTGTTTACGTGTGATGTCGGAAGCACACCCATGACGTCACCTAGTTTAGGCGCCAAAGAAGATAACATCATTTCGCGGAATTTTCGTTTAATGAAAATTTTACACAGAAATAATGACTAAAATTGAATGATTTGTTTATTTTGCATACGCGTCGCCAGGTAAACTAAATTTGCGACAGTAAAACTACCGATGGACGTCCGCAAAGCTTCAAATACAATACAGTTATCTCTAAATTGTTTCCGAACAACCTTCATCTGGTATTCTCGTGATTATAAAAAATAAGAAGATATGGTTTGATTGCCAATGAGACAGTTCTCCACCAGAGACCTAATGACATAGAAGTTAGCAACTATAGGTCACCGTACGGCCTTCAACAATGAGCCAAACCCATACCGCATAGTTAGCTATAAAAGGCCCCGAAATGACAAATGTAAAAGAATTCAAACGAAAAAAAAAGAACGGCCTGATTTATGTACAAAACAATGAACGAAAAACAAATATGATACACTGCAACAAACGACAACCACAGTAATACAGGCTTAACTATGGCATGGTATTGGTTGCAAAAATTTGATATTATCCATTTAAATGCAATATTGGTATATTTTTTCATTTAAATGCAATATTCTTTATTTAATTGGTATATTTCTTCATTTAAATGCAATTTTTTTTTTATTTAATTGGTATATTTCTTCATTTAAATGCAATATTTTTTTTATTTAAATGGTATATTTTTTCATTTAAATGCAATATTTTTTATTCAAATGGTATGATTTGTCATTCAAATTCAATATTTTTTATTCAATTGGTATAACTTGTCATTTTAATGCAATATTTTTTATTCAATTGGTATATTTGTCGTTTTAACTTTAATTTCCAATGATGATGATGGGAGTTTTTAACAACCTTGACTGGCTATACAGCCCTCGGACGGTCGGCATTTGCAATGTTTAGTAGTTTTTTTATTTATATGCAATAATTGCATTATGAGAAATTGTTTGACGTCACAAGGTCAAATTTGCAACTGATGAACGTTTGTGATTGGTCGATTCTGGAATTTATATGTTATCTTGATAAGTAACTCTTGTACGTTTTTTTTTAAAGTTCATCGTATTACTACAACATATAAAATTCATGACTCAATATTGGAGAATGAAAATACAAAAGTTGTTATTCTAATCAAAACAAACTTATAATAGAAGACAAAAAGAGACAAAAAAAGACAGACAAAAAAAATGTCATTGCAAACAAAAGAGACAAAAAGAAAACAACAGACCACAAAAAACATCACAGAACACTACATAACTGAGCAACACGAACCTAAACTAAAACTGGCGAAACATGTGCTCTGGAAGGATAACTGAGCAGATCAAAACGGACGTTGTACGTACGGTTTTGGAATTTTCCCAAGTCAATTAGTGACACCAGTGGTGTAACTTCAGTTTAAATCCGTTGTAGAGTCATAACCCGTTATAATGAAGCATAAACTTGCAGATTGGTAAATCTTCCTCGCTATATCTATACATAAGACATAACCGAAATAAAACATCGGAACATGTTAAGTCTCCTACTCTATTCTTAACAATTTGAAATAAAACCATTTCTTATGACAAAGACATTGAATACCACAACAGATAATACAGAAAACTAAAGCAAAACTAAAACGTCTCCCCTCAAATAAAATCTAGGCGTGAACTAAGGTTCTCTGGAAGGTTAGTAATATCCTGTTCCACTAGTGGAACCCGCAATGTTGCTCATGTTATGCAAAATTCAGTAACCAACAGGGAGAAATATTCATGGGAAGAAGAGCCCTTTTCATCCATCAGAAGGCATCGCCAATAATGAAAGATTTTCTTAATAGTGACCAGTGGTAGATTTGGACATTCGTGTTACTCAGTCTTTAGTTTTCTGCGTAGTGTTTATTAGACTGTTGCCTTTCTTTCCATCGTTTTTTTTTTTTGTTATGGTAGTGTCTGGGTTTTTTTTTCCTTTTTATGATTTTTGATTGTCTCGTTTGTATCTGCACTCTTTTTTGTAGTTCTTTAGAAATTTGCAAATAAAAGCATGAACATGAAAATTTGTGTTAAAGCATAAAAGAACCCGAATTTTTGTTTAGATTCATTTAAAAAGAATTAGGATGGCACTAGGTCAATATAAAAATCATTAGTTGCTTTACAAAAAAGAGAAAGAAAAACAAATGAAAGAGAAGGGGACTTGATTCTGAATTTAAATTTGGACATATGAATCACTATGTATATTCCTTTTCTTTAAAGAAAAAACTAGCAATATAACACACCATAATGCTTCATTCTTAGCTGTTTGCCGAGGCGGTATCAATCAATCAATCTGTTTTGTACAGTCTAGCATTTCCTAACCAATTTTTAATTCTGTAAGCATACCGGGAAAATTTGCCAAAGGCAACTGATCACCTTAAAGAAATCTAATATAAACAGCAATAAAAAGTAAAAACAACACTTTATAAATTTAATGAGTGTCCGAATAGTTCTTTTTTAAGATTTGTCTATTGTAGTATCACACGGAAAACACTTTACCAAAATTGATTACACATTGATACGATTTTCGTTCCGTATCGTTAATGTCCCCTTTTAGACGGTGATGTTCCGTGATCCCTTTATACGGTATATTCCCAACTCGTTTGATATGCCCATGTCTGTAGTGACGTTTTGAATAGATACAAACGCAGTGATCGGGAAGGACGTGCGCCTTGCGCCAATTGCGCTTATCGACCAGAAATGGCGCATAGAGTGACAAATGTAAGCGCCTGCGTGGCGCATGATATTTTTCACTTCGTTTTGAAACGTTGAGATATCGACAAATGGATTTCCGATCGTATTTCGTGCCGCCATGTGTGAGTACACAACTGTGTAGTGTTTACTCCAATGATAGGAGCACCTATATATTTTTGAGACGTCTTGGGTGTTTTCCTATGTATGGTAATAATAGCAACATGCGGTATGACTGATTACCCAAAAAACGTTATTAACCATCATTCATGATATAACTTTTTATAAACAACTTTAAATTTGTGAAAATTGGCTAGTACAGGCGAGAATTCTTCTCTAATTATAATCTTTTAAGTAAGCTTGCTATTATTTCGATTGAAAATCCAAAAGCCTTTTTATGAATAGCATAGTATTTGTCTCCATAAAAGAGGCTTAACTGTCCTTGTCAATTTTTTTGGTCTTTGGCTCGTTTTGACATTTTGTAAACATGCCTTCAGCGAATTGTTGTTGTGTCTTATCAATTAACATTGCTCTCTACTGTTATTCTTGTCATCGTGATGAAGTAATAATAATACAAGTGCAGAGGAAATGCCAGAAACGTCCTCTAATACGGAACGTCGGGAATAAGTATGGTATCGACGAAGACCCAAATTTAATGTAAAAAAAAACATGAACATGAACAAGGGAACAGTACCAGTTTTAACATTGTAAATAAAGGTTATCGTAAATATTGCCCGGTTTGGAATAGTTATTGTATATTCATTGAAATTGAAATTACAAAATCACAGGAACAATATCCATGATATTAATTAGAATCATACTTGTAAGTACAGTGAAATATATACTTTTTTTATTTTTATTTTATTGTAAACGAATGGCCCACTCATTTGACAACATGGCCCATTAATTCTAAAAATGGCCCATTGAATTTATTTTTTGGGGGCCCTGGGCCCATAGAGAAAAAATCCTTCCAGATAACTGCAAACGAGACAATCAAAAATCATAATAAGGGAAAAAAAACACAGATACTACCATAACAAAAAAAAACGATGGAAAGAAAGGCAACAGTCTAATAAACACCACGCAGAAAACTAAAGACTGAGTAACAGGAATGTCCAAATATACCACTGGTCACTTTTAAGAAAATCTTTCATTATTGGCGATGCTTCTGATGGATGAAAAGGGCTCTTCTTCCCATGAATATTTCTCCCTATTGGTTACTGAATTTTGCACAACATGAGCAACATTGCGGGTTCCACTAGTGGAACAGGTTATTCCTTACCTTCCAGAGAACTTTAGTTCACGCCTTGATTTTATTTGAGGGGAGACGTTTTAGTTTTGCTTTAGTTTTCTGTATTATCTTTTGTGGTATTCAATGTCTTAGTCATAAGAAAATGGTTTTATTTCAAATTGTTAACATATATAGTAGGAGACTTTAAAAAATGTTCCAATGTTTTTTTTTGGTTATGTCTTATGTATAGATATAGGGAGGAAGATTTACCAATCTGCATTCACGCCTTGATTTTATTTGAGGGGAGACGTTTTAGTTTTGCTTTAGTTTTCTGTATTATCTTTTGTGGTATCCAATGTCTTAGTCATAAGAAAATGGTTTTATTTCAAATTGTTAACATATATAGTAGGAGACTTAAAATGTTCCAATGTTTTATTTTGGTTATGTCTTATGTATAGATATAGGGAGGAAGATTTACCAATCTGCAAGTTTTTGCTTCATTATAACGGGTTATGACTCTACAACGGATTTAAACTGAAGTTACACCACTGGTGTCACTAATTGACTTGGGAAAATTCCAAAACCGTACGTACAACGTCCGTTTTGATCTGCTCAGTTATCCTTCCAGAGCACTTGTTTCGCCAGTTTTAGTTTAGGTTCGTGTTGCTCAGTTATGTAGTGGTCTGTGATGTTTTTTTGTGGTCCGTTGTTTTTCTTTTCGTCTCTTTTGTTTGCCATGTCATTTTTTGTCTTTTTTTCTTCTATTATAAGTTTGTTTTGATAAGAATAACAAACTTTGTATTTTCATTCTCCAAATATTGAGTCATGAATTTTATATGTTGTAGTAATACGATGAACTTTAAAAAAAAAAACGTACAAGAGTTACTTATCAAGATAATATATAAAATCCAGAATCGACCAATCACAAACGTTGTTGCAAATTTGACCTTGTGACGTCAAACAATTTCCCATAATGCAATGATTGCATATAAATAAAAAAAAATACTTAACATTGCAAATTAAGTTAAAACGACAAATATACCAATTGAATAAAAAATATTGCATTCAAATGACAAGTTATACCAATTGAATAAAAAATATTGCATTTGAATGACAAATTATACCATTTGAATAAAAATTATTGCATTTAAAGAAAAAATATACAATTTAAATAAAAAAATATTGCATTTAAATGAAGAAATATACCAATTAAATAAAAAATATTGCATATAAGTGAAAAATATCAAATTTTTGCAACCAATACCATGCCATACTTAGGTCATCAGATCGATACAAAGCAGAAAAAAACATCTAACAAAATATAGACCGGACGTGACAGGGTATTTAAACATCCCCACAACAAAAAACACTAAGTACAGATCTGAGAGTACTCGCAATTACTGACAGCTAGTTCAAAGCCAATAAACAACTAATAAAAAAATCATGCATCTAAGACTAAAATATCAATCAGTACTAATCCAACATCCAATGGATTTAGACTACATGGCCTTGTACAATAACAAAATACAGGTATCGACAGATTGTAGAGCCATGAATGTGCAAAAGTATATAAAAATAATATTTAGATTGATTTTAAATTTACTTATAACAAAATCACCATTTATACCAATAAAAACGATATTCAAAGATCTAATTACAATGTTGAATTGGTAACCTTTAAGAATAAGATTATTCAAAGGATCGATAAGTTTACCCGTATCGTATCTACATTTCCGAGCTCGGTTGACAACATTTCGGGAAAAATTAGGGTGTGCTATCCCGTTTGAAATAAGTTTCACTACAGGTACAGCCAAACTTCCGAACCAAATCTTTGTATCTATGGAAGAAATTAGTCAAGGTTTTAAGTTAATTGTGGTATCGAAATGCCTGACTTAATAATTTACCAGTAATACATAGATTAGGTTCATTGAAATCCAAAACGTCACTACAGACACGGGAATAGCGAAAGAGTTGTGATACATAAACACCGTAAAATGGTGCCAAAGCCTTTGGCAAAGAAACATCACCGTCCAAAAAAGGAAAATTAACAGTAGGGAACGAAAAATGTCCCTTTTGTCCTAAATTTTTGTGTAAAGTTTCCTTAGTAAAACTGAAATATCTAAATCTAGGAAAGAACAGTTATTACTGTTTATATTTGATTTATTTAAAGTAGGTTCCTTTGGGTAAAATTCGGCAGTATATTTAGAAAATTCTTGATTATTTAACGAAAACATATGTCATCAAGATAACGATAAGTGTTGTTGAGCTTATCAATTAAATGCAATTTAGATAGGTCTTTACTGAGTGGTCATAAACTGTAATTCATAACAGTACTAGAACAAGTCTACTATTATAGGGGCGCAGTTAGTGCCCATAGGAATACCTACAACCTGTCGAAAAACTTCATTGCAGAAACGTACATAACTTTTATCAAGGAGAAAATTAACAGCTTCAATCATCTCATCACACCTCCATTAAGTATATCTAGCATATTTATATTTCTAGAACAGTTTGGAAAGCAAAATCAAGGTCAAATTTGTCTGAGGAAGTTGCAACCTTAGCTTAATTTCATGAACTTGAAATGTAGATGAAAATTTAGGATTAAATCATGTCAATAACAAAGCACTGAGATCTAATATTCAATTAAAGCTTTCTTACAATTTGACGAAATGTATGTATGCTTGACGAATCATACATGTAAACCCGTTGTAGGGATCCTTCATTTTGACTTTTTTAATTATTTATAAAATTTGACACATTAATGTAATCTTAATCAAGGGACTTAGATGGAGTTTCGCCTTAACTTTTGCTTATCAAGGATCATTACACTGCATACAACGACATATGTCAAACTTGAATTTTCGTGTGTGGACACGTACGACGTTAACATATAATACCACCGAGGTGAATAAAATTTGCTTCATATAGGCTCGTCAGAAGAAGAATAAATGTACCCCTAAATAAAAAATAATGTGCTCAACCATCACTCCCGGTACTGACCAAGTGGTAGTAGATTAACAGCACTGGGGTGGTGAGTCCAGAACAATGAAAAGAACATCTGTAAGTCTTATTGCGATGAAGGTTAAACAGTATAGTTAGTATAACTATTAATAGTTTGTTTACTGTGGTAAGCATACTGGTTAAATTTTATTTTGAAACCATAGTTAAACTTTTTTATCTATCTGTTAGGTGTCTTTTTTAAAATATAAATGCAATCACCAAACATTTGACATACATTTTTTATTGAGATAAATTCAAAGACATTGTTACACTGATGTTTAAAAAAATTGTTGATGGCGGATGTTTGATAATTTGTTAGAAATATGCATTTCTTTTCTGTACTCGGGGCGATTAAAAGCTTGTCATATTGTTTTAGAAAGCGGTCTAACCTTGACAGCCTGTAAATATGTTTTGGGGTATTTGTGTTGTTGTGTTACTGTCTCGTTAATATCTAGCCCACATCTCCTTTATTTCCTAAATCTTTGATGTATACTGATAAAAACAAACCTGGGAACATATTTTATTATCTGCACAGCAATCTAGAGTTTTCTCAATTCGCACATTTCAGAATGTTTTTGATTATCTTTGACATAAACATTTTCCCCAATCTATTAAATTTTCACAACTAATCTAATGAGCACATAAATGCATGAGTAGATAGCACATTTTGATCGTGATTTCCAAATCATGTATTTGTTCGTATAAGCAGAGACATATATAATACGTTATATGTTATGTTTTATATGGCTCTGGTATAAGTTACTCCCCTGTTGGTAGCCGCATTTTGCAGGTTTCTTTTTTATTATGTGTTTTTACTTACTGTCCTATATTTTTGGTAATTCCTGTTTTCCTTTCTATGTATAATTACTAAAATTCTGGATATTCCGAATTTTGTTTATATTTTTTTATTTTGTCACTTGAATGCTGTGAATGTACACAAAATAGCTTTAAACCCTGTCAACCAAAATAGATACAGTTTTTTTTTTTCTTGCTTTATTATTTCAAGCTCACAGTGTTAAAAACGTAATTTCAGAAAAGTAGAATATGCGCATCAACAGAGAGGATATAACATACCATTGAATCTTCGTTTAAAAATATTTATGTACCATAAAAATCAAAATCATATTCAATACGAGTATCAGTGCAAAATTGAGACAAACAAAGCAACTAACATAAACATTTGAATACACAACGACAACAACAACATGAAAATATCTAAAGCTTTCGAAACATCAATCCAGGATACTTGAAATGAATTGTCTGTTCGTGTAGCCTCATTATCACTGGTGTCACCTCCATTTTGTAATTTATCTTGACCGTTTGGGAAGTATTCCCTATGCTTCTGTGAGTTACACATGATAACTAATCGCCGGAGAAACGTCGGAACTGAACGCGTGTCGCATGTATGGAACAGCCGAAGTTGTATGATAGTGAGAAGACAAATTATGCAGCTAAATATAAGGTTGCTGACTAAAAAATAACACAATCTTGACATGGTTCGTGATGTTTTTGGTAGATGACTTGATATCATTGTCATGAATACGGCTATAGCTAATAAGACTGTTATGGAGAAGGAAATTCTTTCACCTGACGTCGCCGGTAATAAAAATACGAACGAATTTAGAAACGTTAGCAATATAATTGGAAACATGATGTTTACCAGATAAAATAAAGGGTTTCTGTTAATGGTAAATAATACACTAAACATTGATCCCACATCAACATTTGAAACCAGTGCAAATGTCTCCTTTAGCTGCCAAATTTCGTGCTCAGTGTAAAGTGTAAGAATTGCATGATCAATTTCAGAGTGCATGACAATTTCCTTTTCTAAAGTCCCCACTGGTACAAAATGGGTGGCGCATGTCTGTTGGTCAAATGGGAAATGTGTGACGTCAACAGAACACGACGTAATTGTCATATCTAATGGTGTCCAAATTGCCGTGCCATTGTTATAGTACCTTACCGTCATAAAATCTTCTCCGATTGCAGACATATCATCGAAAGCATTTCCAAGTAATAAATTAGGTTTCCAGACATCATTTTGTCCAAAAATCATTGAATCTATATTTCCATATTCCGTTTTGTTCCATATCATTCGACTATCCTGCCAATTTATATTTAACATTCCAATTACAGAAAATTTCCCAGTAACTTCATCAAAATCTTTTATAGATATCAAACTGAAGCGCAAATTCACCTTGGTACTTTCCTTGATATCATGTATTGGTCGTATCATTTTGTTATAATTATTTAAAAGGTCTGAATAAAGTCTATTTGCTTCATCCATTAAATCTCCAACTGACCTTGCTATACATATATAAATAAAGAACAACCTAGTAACAATGTCAGCTGAAAAGGAAAAACAGAAAGTTTCATTAAATTTATGATATATACAAATGTGAAATGTATTATAAGTACAAAACTATAAAGGACACGTGTAAAGGGCGATTAAAAGGAATTAAACCATCAAACAGGTGGTTAAAATGCTTGAATATGTTCTGTAATTGGAAGCAAATTCATTGTGACGTCACATTATAGGTAAATTCGTTTGTAACAACACCAATGGTGCCCTGGCCGATCATGGAACTATTAAGACTAAAATTATATGTGTTCTCATGAGCTACAATTGTTTTTGTATTTACAATGCTGGATAATGCTCGCTTTTTGAAGAGAAAATATTAACCCTATTGACCTAAACAGTGAGGCTGGCCAGCAACACTTATACAAAAAAAGGTTTACTCTTAATAACAGGAACATATATAGAGATCACTGTGTCCATTGTAGCATTGTTTTCCATAATTATATGACTAAATCATAAAGAAACTTCCTTTCACGAAGCTAAATGATGTTATTATTGTTTATAAAAATCTTTCTCGGCTTAGATAGGAGCGTATTTTTTAACAATAAATGTCCACGCAAAAGTCTTGCTCATCATGATACAACAATTGAATTATAAACTCCAGAGAGTACCAAAATCTTCGTAGTCAGTGATAGTTTCCGAGAGTGCCTGAAGCATGGTAGTTCATGCTTATATCCCGAGAGCGAATCAAGCATGGTAGTCAGTGCTTAGTTCCCGAGAGTACCGAAAGCGTCAGTGTATATTGTGACTCTAACGTCCCCTATTTGATTTTTTGCGTGTGGTAAGTAGCACTATATTCACAATATTTCTCCATTTTTCCTAATCGATTTTAATAGCCCAGTGAAGCATGAACACAAACATGTTCAACTCTTTCTCTTATTTTTCCTTAGAGAAGTATTCAGAAATTAATTCTGTTGTAGTGGGCTAACATTATTCAATCTCATACCCGAGCGATTCCTCAGTCACCTATGTTCGGCAAGTAATATACCAAGTGTCAAATGTCACAAAATCTTAATCACTATGTACATGTACGAATCAAATTTATAAATGATTAAATGTTTTGTTATTAGGGAATTCTGTTTTAATCAAAAACGCATCCCAAGTGCAATAAATATTTTATTAAGTCTTTGTGTATTTCCATAGCAAGAAGACTATAATCTATAATGATAATACTGCTTCAAAAATCTTTGAGTAGATTATCATTTATCCACTGCTTTTGATCAATGTTGCCATAGAAAATGAGAGTATTGAGCTGGTATTAGTACGATATTATGGGCTCATTGTTTGTCATACATGTATGTCTGCTGTCCTTAGCCTCATTTTCATGGTTCAGCGAGTGCTAAAATAGGATACCTATATTATGTATATGGGTCTCTTACAAGGTCTACATGTTCTTTAGACAGGGTTCACCTTACCTCATGGATCAGTGATCAAGGTTTAAGTTACCTGATTAGGGCTGTTTCTCAGATACTGTTAGCAGTAGGCGTTTTGTCAATGTTAAGTTTTTGTGTTTTGGTCTGTTTTTTTCTGATACTAAAAGTAATAGGTAAACTATATTTGGTGTATTGAATGATTGTAAGGTGTACATGTCTGTCTTGCAGGTATCATTTGTCCATGATCTCATTTTCATGGTTCATTGATCAATGTTAAGTCCTCTTTTAAGATAATATAAGCAATAGGTCCACTATATTTGGTGTATTGAATGATTTTTATGTGTACATGTCTGTCAGGCAGGGTTCATCTGAATTTAACTTCATGTTCATGGTTTGTTCTGTTTCTTGTATACCGTATATGCTAGAGTTCAACAATATTTGGTGTATGGAATGATTGTAAGACTGGCTTGGTTTATCTGACCTAGCCTCATTTTCATGGATCATTGATAATTTTAAGTTTTTGTGATACTTGTAGTAAAACTTTATCTTTAGGAATATCAACATAAAATAAATCTAAGTACTGCAGCTTGTACACTCTTGTTAACACAAAAAAAAATGTGTTGAAAACTGTGACTACCATACATGCAGATGTATCTAGGAATTTGTGGTAACAACTTGAAAGATATGTGATCTATCCTGAAAATTCGAGTCTGTATTGAAACAAGTCATGATAGTTCACACCATATGCTTGTAAGCATTATATTTTTTAAGAAAACTTATTTCGATATTTTAGTGTTTTGAAAATGATTTCACAAAACAGCTATCAGGGTTGAAATGCAAATCAATATCTTTGCAACACCAACAAATATGTCTACTCGCCATTTGTAAATTTGGTAAATTGTGTTGGTCTTGCAGAGAATTCAAGGTCTAAGGTGACCCCCAAATAATACTTCACCATGAAATTAATAGATTGTCTTTGGCAAATTTTATCAAAGTAAACTTTCATTCACTGTTTGGAAGTTCTTTTGTATATATTGCACAGAATAAAAGTTTAATTGTTGTTTGCTGAATGTCCAACGGCAAATATTTTAAGCGTACTTTTTTTATGGAATATAATTTTATTTGAAATTTACATTTGTGAGAGATACATAAAGTACCGGTACCTTATCCCAGCCTCGTTAACGTTAGTATATAGCATTTCAGTGATAATGTTAGTACTTGTTAGTACACAATATACAGTTCGGCTAATAAATAATATGCAACAGATTAAAAAGAGAGTAACATGATATATTATGAGTTTTAGTTTATGAAGATAGATCATTTTTTTCTGCAACCAAATTATGGAATATTCACATTTACCTTTTTTATTTGTCTTTTTTTAAGTGAATAATATATTTTATCTTAAATCTTATACAAACCCTAAGCAGTCCAGGGCAGTTGACAGAGGGTCCGTTTTTATTTTACATATCCCATTTGCCAGGGACAATACAAATGGGTGGGAACAAAAACTCTATATAATATATATTCAATATAAGCATATTAAGGATGAGAACATATTAATGAACAGTACCTTATGTAGGTTCTGCATAATAAGTAGAAAGGGCGAGATATATGGACTGCTACTGGTCAATGAAGGTACAATGAATGTTGGATATGAGTAAAATTCCCCATTTTTACCCCACTAGGCTGCGAATTTATAAATCCAGCTGCATGCACACCCTGTCTAAACAAGGGTTTATCTGACGGACTAGGGAAGTCATATATCAATACCCATGTTAACTCTACGAGTCCAGTTTAAAAAAAAACATCATAGTCCGATAGTTACTTTGCAGCAGGAGGGCCAAACCAGTGTTCCCACATTATTATGAAAATTGCCATTCAAATTTTTTGCCGCAATGACATATTCAACTTTCATTTTTGAAATCAAGAACTTTCCTTATTAGCTTCCCTTTTCAAAAAACACATTTAAAAAAGTAAAGACATAAGTTAAAGTTTGCCTATACCACCGACTAATTTAGCGTGTGTACTGGGCTGAATTTTGAAATTACAATCCCAACTTTTCCTGAACCAAGTAATTGCTTACATCCACTTCATTTGAACTTTGGTGGATAGTTGGCAGTCCTACCATATCTCCTTATTTTGATATAAGTAGTACTAATTTTGTTTATATATAAAGCCTTTAGCTTTTAGTCTTTGGAACTGCCCGGTAGACTGCTGGGGTCCTAGGCTAAATTCCCGACTGGGTCAAAGCATGTGGCACTGAGGGATAAAAGCATAGACCGATATATAAGGTCGGGATAATAGGTCCAGGTTACTATTAACCAATATTCATCTATGATCAATGGTGGAAACAGCAAATTATTGAAGTGTCGGTTTTATTCTGTGTGAAACAAATACTTAATTTAGTGAAATATGTTGTTCCAATTCCGTTAGTCTATAACAAATTCTTGTTCAGTTCTTAACGTTTTACGCTGATATTTTCTTTTTTTATATGCGAACTCGGTTGGCACATTGATAGATAAAATAAAAAATAAAGAAAAATAACAAATATCAAAATAAGTAAAAAGAAACTATCAGAAATAGAAAACATTGCCCCCGAGGTCATATGTTATAGGACTAGAGTTCCGGAAATCCTCGAAGTATGTTATGAGAGAATTTGTTAGATATCCTCTTTACGCTAACAAATACAATAAAAAAAACTTCCAAGTTAGAAGATAGTGGTTGTTTGAAAGTGCTCTTTGTGCCCATGATTTGATAAAGAATATAATGTGTAAAGTTAAAATGTAGGATATGACTGTCAAGAATTTATTCTTTGCTTGAAAATTGGTATATTCAAAATTGTGTTTGTTAAATGAAAAGTATTTAACTATTACCAAACATTTTGTTGTGACAAAATATTTTACATACTTCGGAATAAACTAGCCATTACTTGAAAATGAAGATATTTCAAATATAAAAAGATTTAATGAAAAAATGTAATAATACGCAAAACTGATAGCGTGCAGATAAACCCCCGATGCCTTTTATAACATACTATATGGGTTTTACTCGATGTCGAAGGCCTTACGGTGACATGCATGTCCTTCGTTTACGCTTATCATTGGCAGTCAATATTTAAATTTTCTTTTTTTAACGCACAACGCCATACTTATATTTCTGTCCTTTTAAAATTTTATGTGAAAAATTAACAAGCTACTCCGTGTTTCTGATCGTGTTTCCTTTATTGTAGAAAGTATTCCATCGCTTGTTGTAATCGGGACAGGGTGCTCTCAGACACGCCCACGTTCCAATGTCGTCAAAACTGTTTTTAAGAAGACCCCCAAAGCAATCGTTTCCAAGACGAAGAGCAATCATACCACATCTTCTTATTTTTATATACTTAGATCCAAACGTTATTATTAAATTATACGAATTTTGAAATACCTTTAGTTTAAACAACAATATTTATTCAGATAAATCAACATTAAACGATATTATACAATGAAATAATATTAAGGATTCAGAAACAAGCAATTTGCTTTTACAAATCTGTCTCCTTTTACAAAAATAATACACTTATTGGACAATACATAAAT